GGGGGGGGGTTGGCTAAGTGGAAAGTGTTAGCATTGAATGAGAATGGGTAGTGATAGGGCCTGAAATTCTGAGGTGGGGTCCATGATGGAACAAAAAAGTAAGCACAATGGACGGCTAGATTTGAGTGGGCAAGATCACTTTGTAATCATGAACCCTGTGGTTAGCCCTTAGGAGAGAAGTCCCTATGGGGAAGAATGTTTCGCTTTCTTCTTAATGGCATTAGATGGATACAACTGGATGGTCCATAGCCCCTTCTGAATACATGAAAATGATACAAAAGAAAGGAATATTTTCTTTTCATTTACAAGACTTAGATAAGTGGGCCATCATCTTTAATTATTTATTAATTATAACTATTACACTTTGCTCCTTTTTATGTTTTATAATTCAATTCCAATTTTTACATAAAATTCTATTCTAAACTTTATAATAATTCATTCTCAATATTCCATCCTTCTACATTTTTCTAAATCCAAATAGTTTAGATTTGTTTCCATTATTAAAACATTTAAATATCTTTGATTTTTTAATAACAAAAATATATTTTAATAAGAAAAAGGCTTTTCGGTGTCGAATAAATATCATTTAATGAATACTTCGGGAGATTGGGAGAGGAAAAAGAGAATTAGAGGTTTGATATGCTCTTCACAAGTTGCTTACTAAATATTAATTTTCAATTATTATATAGATATAATTTAGTAAATGTTTGGTGTTTTAGTTTGTATAAGATTTAAATTATTAACGATAAATATGACTTTTTAATAATTAAAAAAAAAAAACTCAATAACCCAATCATTGTATGCCACCGCAAACTTTGGTTCTAAAAGAGGTGTACGGAAGAGTTTTTGGTAGCATCATAATCCCACTTTCGACAATGACAATATAAGCATGTTTGAGAAAGTCGAGAATCTAAAGACTATAATTGACTCGAGAACAAATTTTAGTTTTATCGATGAATAGTAGCTCAATGATTAATATTTTTAATTGGAAAAGAAAATCAATATTTGAAAAAAAAAAAAAAAAAAAAAAAAAAAAACTCCTTAATTTGCACTTTTAATTATATTGTTATTTAAGGGTATGAAAAAAAAAATTTGTTTCACCAATTGGTATATGAAAATAACAATTAAATAAGTGAATATTTAAATATAAAATATTAACATAATATTAATAATTATTTGATGCCTTAGGTTAGATTATATTTTTAGTATTAAAGCTAATTAATTAATTCAAGGTAATAGAATTAAATAAAATTGCTAAAAATAATTAATAAGTAATAATAAAATTTATACTAAATAGTCAAATAGTATTAACTAAAGACGTAAATTTGATTAAGTCAAAGTGATTATCTATTAAGCGACTAATTTCCTAATTTATCTATAAATTTTAGATTAAATAGAATTTAATAAACATACGAAATAAATTATTAAATGGTCCCAAATATTATTTGTTCACAACGAAAATTTTAATTTTAAAAGATTAAATAATTTTATATTTAAATATTTAATTATAAATCTTTATTACAGATTGCTTTCATCAAGTGGTCACATCTACCCAATTATTATTTGATTAATTTAATAACAACAAATTAGACAAATTATTTTTAATTTTTTATTCAAGCAACACGTGTTCATATTATCCAATAACCTGACCCACTCGAACTACCCAACTAAAACCTTAAATATTAGGTTGGATTAAAAAAAAAAAATTGGGTGAGTTCAGTAGTTAGTTTTTTAGTTGGGTCAACCCGACTAACTCGAAAATAGGATTACTACCCAAACTATCCCTAAACCTTAAATATCAGGTTGGATTAAACTCTCTCTTTTTTTTCGTTTTGGGTTGGTTCATTTAGTTTGGTCAACCCGACTAACTCGAAAATAGGGTTACGCCCAAACTAATCCTAAACCTTAAATATTAGGTTGGATTAAACTCTCTTTTTTTTTCCGTTTTGGGTTGGTTCATTTAGTTTGGTCAACCCGACTAACTCGAAAATAGGGGTACGACCCAAACTAACCCTAAACCTTAAATATTAGGTTGGATTAAACTCTTTTTTTTTTTTTGGTTTCTGTTGGTTCATTTAGTTTGGTCAACCTAACTAACTCGAAAATAGGGTTACGACCCAAACTAGCCCTACCTTACTTTTAAGATTATTATAAAAATTAGGAAGGTCTGACATTTATAACCAATGTATTGTGTCTTGTGCAAATGTTTTATAAAATTTTAGTCACTAATATAATATATAATATGAATGAGCATTTAACATGATATATGTTTAAATTAATCAGAATAAATAGGCTACATTATTAAGACGCTTCAATTAACTTATTGATAAGTCAAACCAAGTATGTATGTATCTATAGAGTTTTTCGTATATGTATGTATCTATAGTTTTTCGTATATTCTATTTTTATAAATTAAAAAGGTACCTTTTTAATATTTTTTGAATGTATTTTTTATAATTTTTGGTATGATAATTTAAAATTAATATAAAAATGGTAAAAGTGTTTAAAAAAAACTATTTTTTAATAAAAATTTTGATATCAATAATTTTGTCACATCGATGCAATAAAATTACAAATAAAATAAATTTAATATTTTCTGTATTAATTTAATAGGCAGGTCCGAGCAAATTCGACCTAAATGTTGATCTGGGTCGAACTCAAAGGTTAGGTCATGAGCCTAATTATCTATGTTCGAGTCAAACAGATATAGAATCAAATAGTGTCTTAATTCCACTAGGCTTGGCTTGGGTCAGATGTTAGCCTTATAGGTTGGGTTGGTCTACTCAATAATTATGACTTTTCATCTTACAATAATAAAATTTTATATTTTGTTATTGACCTATTCAATATTTTAAAAATTTTAAAAATTTACTCATACTTCGATAAATACTGATAGTTTTGTTAAACCGCCTATCAATCAAATAACTATCCCATATAAATTTACGAGTCCATAATCAAATTTAAATTCTAATTAGTTCTTTCTGTCTCTCTAATTCTATAAAAAATAAAAAATAAAAACAAATAAAATAAATTGAGTAAACCAGTCTTATGATTGATACTTTTTTAATTAAAAAGTATCCAAATTAAAAAATAAAAATAAAATAAATTACACAACCATCCCTCTTTTTTTTCTTCCTATGAAAAAATATAATAAATTTATAAAATTCATGAATTTTTTTAAATATTTAATTCATGAATTTATGGGTTTTATACACCTATATTTATAAAATTCATGATTTTTTTTAATTTTTAATTCATAAATTTATGATTTTATACCCCTGTAAATCTGCCAATGTGAAATCTTATAATAACAGAATATGAAATGGTAGGCCCACAGGTAAAATTTCTGCTTCAAACACAGAGGAACCCATCTCTGTTTTAATCATTTAACTATCTCCCACTAATCATAGACCTTGCATGTTTTTCTAATCACTTTCAACTCTGCCCACCACCTGTTCGACGAAATTCCTCAAAGAAATATTTTGCAGTCAAGGCTGTTTTTTTCAACCAACTTTGTGGGCTATTGGATCTTATTAATGCTCCAGCTTCATTGCTTTCTTCTTTAAATTAATTGCTGATGGGTCACAGAGCAGAGGAGAGGCAGAGGAAGGCATCAGTAGAATCATACACGTTGTGTTTGGAGATCCAATATCAGTTGAGGAGTAGAACGAAACAACCTTGGTAAGGGTGTGTAAACCTCTCTCTAAAAAGGAAAAGCTTGAAAAAGACAATATCTGTTAACGGTTGACTTAAGCCGTTACCGTGTTAGTTTGAAGTCGGAAGGAACCAATTAATGGGGCTGGGTGGCTGGCTGTATGTAGGGCCACATTATGCAGCAGCAGGGTAAGAAAAGAAAAAGGGTTTCTCTGGCCCTCTATCTCTTTCGTATTAAAACTGATTTGTGGATGGGAATTGAAGGGTGTAGGACCAGAGCTGCAACCAATCATGGTTTGTTTTGGATGTTGCGGCTCACAGCCTTTTCTCTGTTCACTTCTCAGTCTAACGCTTGTGGGAAGAAGATAAAGGGTTTCTCTAAAGGTGATTGCAGGCGCAGCAATTGCTCAACTATGAAGATAACAAGGTCGGGGAAACAACCATTGATATGAATGTTCGAGAGTGTAATTGTAACACAATTGTGTGAGGTATAGAGGTTGAAATCAAGTTGTATAGTGGATTGTTAGGAGCATAAATATCATCTCCATTGATATGAGATATTCTAGAGAAATCAAAAGTAAAGTAACGAGAATTTATGTTCAAAGGAAACAATATCATAACATTATGGAAGTTCGTGATTCTTAGAGGAGTCGAATGGTATCAAAAGGGCCGTTTGCACGAGAAACGATGAGAGGGTTGGGTGGGTGGATGTGAGTGATGGGCAATGGATGGATATTAGAATTGCTAGTTGGCTTTGCCCTTTGACTTATAAAATAATGCAAAAGAATGAGACAACATTGTCGGTGGGTTGTGGTATGAGGGTTACAAATGAATGAAAGAGTGAATGAGTGAATGAGGGAGTGATTCAGATGAGATGGTTGTGTGTGGTTTGGGCGGCCATGTATGCAAAATCAAACATCAATCCAGCCCAAAATGTCAGTTTTTTTCTATTCGCTACACACTGGATTAGCCCACCGCCCCTTCTTTACGTTGTCATCTTGAAGATGATTGGGAGTGAGTCTCATATTCATTAATTTAGTGGAAGATGATAAATTTAGAAGCAAGGAATACTGTCTGGTACGAGGCTTTCTAGAGCACTCCCAAAATAGACAATATCATATCATTGTGGAGGTTAGTGATTCCTAAGACTCCAATCATCACTAACATATCACTAACATAACGTTTCTGTCTGTTATATTATTTTTGTTAAGGAATGTGTTTGAAGTATTTCAAATATTTTTTTTTAATAAAAAGAAAAGGTTAATTAGTAAAACATATATTATTTATTTTCAAACATTTAATTAAGATTTACAACTCAAATTTAATATATATTTTGAAAAGTTACCTTACGCCGTAAAAAAAATACACATTTTTTCAAATTAACAATAAACTCGAGTTAATTCAATCCTACCAAGCTCTTAACCGTACAACTTGGGTTTTGTTAATCAAATTTTTTGAACACTCTTATATACACTTCAAACCATTAAAGTTTCAACTTTTAGTGAACTATGTGTCGCTACTCCAATTAGAATATTTTAAGCTTTAAAGAGTGGCATGGCTGCTTGAATAATTATGAAATAATTGAATAAGACACCCATGTGAAGAGTAGAATTGTTAAAATGCTTAAAATACTTCTACAAGAAGTTAATGTTATCATTATATAATCTTTTAATTTGATACATTATTGCTTGGGATATTATCAAAAGATTTGGTGTGTGTTACATTCTAATTATTCTAACATCTTTTTTCCTCTCTATATTACATTGCTTTTATTACGTGTTGCATCTATTTTGAACACCGAAAACATTTCAAAATGAAGCATTTTCCCACTAATCATTCTCATCGGGGTATTTACATCCACAAAAAGTAAAGAAAAAATTGCAGTTATGGCAAACATAACCGAGAGGCCATCTTATACTCTAATTTTCAAGTCCCCAATGCACATGTAAAGCTGGCTATGTATTCAGTGTGTGCATGGGTTGTAACGTGTCAAGCTAGCTATCTACTATGAACATATGAGACCACACAAGTCGTTTATCCTCGACTGGGAGATATCAGTGAAAGGGTATACCTTGAAGTTGCCAGTGGACAAGCATGTCAATGTCACCTCTTGATCGCTCATCATTGTCTGCATTAAAATGTAGTTGGGTATGAGATCTGGAAATTGGAAGCAAAACAATCGGGCAATGCAAGTACGAAGACGGAATTGTTGAGGATTGTTAGGATGGAGTCACACATTGACCAATTTAAGGAATGATAATAGGTTTATAAATGAGAAACTAATACATCTACCATAGTACGAGGCCTTTTAAGAAAACTAAAAGCAAATTCACAAGAGCTTATGCTTAAAATGTACGATAGATAACTCATACCGCACACGAAAATGCCACATCCTTGCAGTGCCATCTCTTGAATGGAATGCAGTCGATATAACGACACCATATGCAATACTGGTTCAAGTCTAATTCGAAAATAACCCCAACTAGACATCCGAAAAATCTGCATATGGAGAACAAAAATTCAGATGAGGTCAAAATGACAACAAAAATTAACATCCCCCACCCCCACAGAATCACTCAACATATACTACAGTATTGCCATGTTTCAGAGAACTCACAAAAGAGCAAAGAGAAGCAGAGACGTGCTTCTCAGGATCGGTTTGTCCAGCTTCTGTTTCATTTTCAAATTGAAATAATTTTTGAAACTATAGCTCAAAGGGTATCCTTTAGTTTGAGCCTTTTCATTTCTATGCTGCAAAGTGAACAAAATCATGAAACCGAGGAGTAATCCTGAGCCCAAGCCTCCAACATTCGCAAAATTGTCTATATAAGGTAGCAGACCAAGTCCAAAATTGATAGTCAAGACAACAAGAACTGATCCCAGAGCTAAAAACTGCGATAAAATAAAGAAGAATAAGAAATTCAACAATCAGATTTGCGTAGAAAGTACAAAAATTAGAATGGGAAACAGTGTGAGAGAAGTACTTGATCAGAGTAAAGTTTCCAGTTCCTTATTATCCCTGAAAGCATAGCTCCAAGTAAACCGAATAAAGCTCCAGATGAACCAACGGAGGGGCTGTTTTGAACAAAAAGTGCAGCCACCAAGGTGCCAGTATAAGCAGAGAGTAGATAGATAATCCCAGTCCTTACTGCTCAAAAGGAGGAAGGGGAAAAGGCTAAAAACATTGTCCAAGTCTCAACATAATACTCAGCATGAACACACAAGAAGCAAATATATATGAGGGAAGGCCTACCTGGCCCGTACTCATGTTCTAATTGGATCCCTACAAAGATTACGCTGCTAAGATTAATCACAAGGTGGATGAGTCCAGCATGCATGCAAGGAAATGTAAACAGACGCCAAATTTGCCCATATTCGGTCAAGCTCTTTCGCCCAAGACCTCCCATCTTCTCTAGCCTGTAGAAGGATAAGGTAAACGAAGCTAAAGACATTTTTGTTCCTTTAAACCAAAGCTTTTCCGCTTAATTTGTCAGGGGAGTGATCATCCAAATTGGATGATGTGCTAACATCCCACTGCAAAAGCATCGCCTCAGAAGAAAGCAGTTTGGTTCTTAACAAGCATCATTCTATGAGAGTATGATTTATCTAATTATTGCAATCGCCCGTTTCATTCACAGAAAAATAGGATCAATTGAGAGTGGTGAAAAGGATATAAACGTAAAACTTTGAAGGCAACTTGTTCTAGTGATGAATATTCCACTATTATTCTCTGAAATTGGTTACAGACGTTGATTCAAAAGAAAAGAAATCGCTTATTTTATGATTTTCAAAAGTTTAATCATCATTTTTTACAAGTTTACTCCAGAAGAATTTCAGGAAGTTTGAAGGAAAATAGCCTATTTACATGAAGACAGAATGAACAAACAATTACGATTCCTCGATTCCTTTTCTTCATAAGATTATATATTAATACAGAACTACATCAATTTATACTGAGATTAAACTTCAGAAACATTAATTCTCATGAGGAAAGAAAGAACCATATAAATAGATCAATCGCATGAGGAACAACCGACAGTAAAATAATATAATTATAGCATACAAAATGTATCAAATCTGAAAGCTAGGTCAATATTCGTTTACTTTCTCCTGATTAACTCGAACTGCCGCTGGAAAAGATGTGTATAAATTATGCAAACGGAGAGCGAAATTAACAAAAAACGTAAAGAAGAAAAAAAAGAAGCTCACGTTGAAGCGGAAGGGCCAAGAAGAGGATTCTCCGCAAGAGGCTGAAACGACATCCTTCCGAGTACTCCGAACGCGCATTCTTGGTGAGAATTAGACCAGCAGTCATTAACCAACATCATGGCAATGAACGCCACAATATGGAGAAGCACGAAGACAGAGACGACACAGGTATCGCCTCTTGGCCTCCTAGAGCTCGATTTGAAGAACGGAATCTTAAATTCTTCCAATTTTTCTGAAAACTCAGTGGAGAACGGCGGAGGCGGAGGCGGCGGTGGCGGTGACGGTGGTGACGGTGGCGACGGCAGCGGGGGCTTAATTGGAATCTGCACCTTGACATCGGAAGCGCCCGATGCCATTTCCGCCGCCTGGTATTGAGTTACTAGTGAGCAACTTTGAGGAGTGTGAATTGAGGGAAACGATTTTGGCATACATTTATAGTTCCAGGAGATTTGTTGAAGGAAGTAAAACAGTTGAGAATGGCGGGAATTCTGTTTTGACGCCAAACTAAAATACAATTTTTGTTAAATAAAAATATGTAATTATATGATATTACAAAAATTATAATTATACAATTATTATTATTATTTTTTTTTTTTTGTTGGGTACTTTTTTTTTTCCTTTAAAAAATTTCAATAATATTCTAAAATATTAAAAAAAAATACTTTTATGGTTAATTTTAAATAAAAATTGTTGATATTTTATTTCTAAAATACCGTTAAACATTCCTAAATTTCATTCTAAAATACACCGTTAATATATTGATGAAATTGTTAGTATCACGTTTCAAAAATATTCTTTATTATTATATGAACAGAATTGTTAATACCATATTTCATAAATACCATGAACTTTAAAAAATAAATACCAATTTCTAAAAAAAAATAAGAAGTTGTATAGATAAATCCGTATCTATCTATGACTAAAAACTTTTTTAAACTTTTAAAATTTAATAAATAATTTTTTGAACATAACACCAACAATAAGGAATCATATTCGAGACTGTTTTAAACCCCGTTCATCAAATAGTTCGAGGTGATCATATGTTAAAAAAAGAGTTTGAATTGAATCTAAAAAGACAGTTTTTAAACCGTTCATCAAATAGTCGAATAAAAAGAGTGAGCGTATTATCTAAGAAAAAGAATTAATCAATCAATGGCATTTAAAAAATTAAGTCTCAACCATCCACCACACTAGAAAAGCATAAAAATAGTTCAACAATCTCCAAAGCATTGTCAAAAACTAAAGCAAACTCAGCAACAAAAATATCCAAACTAAGCGTCTAACAAATTCAGAGAGTCATCAGACTAAACAGACTACCATGGAAAAACTATCAACTACGGATGCTCGTACTTCAGACACCTTCCCTACCTAGCTCGAGTACCTACACGCCAACACGAAAACAACATAGTCATCCGTCTTTAACACAAAAACTTATTGAACATGCAGATCGAGTACCTAGATCGAACATGATCTAACTTGATCAGACTTGGATTATTATATCAGCCAGAAAAAATCTGAACAAAACAAAACATGTTCACATTACTTTTTCCACAAACTAACACAAGTTCTATCAGCACGCTTTGCCGATGTTCAGTCTATGAATCTAGAGTGGGACGTTCTCAATTCAAAGTGGACTTTGGGGTCAAAGCCTAGACCAAAGGTGCCTAATTAGGGGAGACTCATTGGGTAGCAAATACCATCCTCACCTAAACCAAGCCCCGGGTGGTAGCCTAATGGCACAAGCCCCACCTTTTTCTAAGATATCAACATGGTCTCGAGGAGGTTTGGAACCCTCATTGTGAATTTCATGAAAGATATCAGGATCAAGGAGAACCAGACGCCACTCAATATAGAACTACTCCCCGAAAAACCACTGAAGTTAAGGTAAGAGTCCAACTAGTGTTCATTCATTATAATCATCAACCAGTCAATCAGAGTTTGGCATCAACATGGCAAAGTATAAAGGATATGAGACATGCGTACCTGCTTGCTATGCAAAACAAAGAAAATCAATCGGACTGAGTAGGGGACATGTCAACATCATCAGTGTTGGCACCATTTTCAGCAGGCGGATTCAAATGGATGATTTGACCAAACAGTTGAAATGAAGTTACTCCAGCTTCAGTAGAGTTGGAGAGCTGGTTGTCAGCAGATTCTGTGGCAAAGGAAAGAACACTGGCCTGACTATCAGGCGACAAGGTATCAGATTGGGCACTACCAATATGGAGGTCAGTAGACACCATTTGGGACACCATTTGGGTGGTTGCCTCTGCATTAGTAGTTTCTTTATATGGATTATCGAATAACCCAGATTCACATAAGAAATTTTGCCTGGCTCCCTGCATGCCAGCAGGAAAAGAGTTGAAACTCAACAATGCTTGGTTGAATTGCTCCATTGATGAATCACCGACTCTCATCATAGGTGAAAACAGCTCTGCTTCACCATTCAGCTGTCCAGATTTCGAGTGGCCTCTAGGTCTCTTTGCTATGTGAAGAGACGGCTGTATTGGAGGAGCGGGCCCAGCTAGTTCAACTTCCCAAGGGCACACATACTTACCATTCGGTGGAGCATCAGTTTCTTCCCATGTAATCTAAGACACAAAAAACGAAATTAAATCAACAGATCCCAAAATTCACGTTTTGAACTTACAAACAATGACATCCCATTTGCATTCTTTTATTGTTTATTCGGCTCGTTATTTGGTATGAATATATCGACATGAACACTCGAGATTCGTCGAGTAAATCAACAGTTTATGAACGATTTCAACCCTACCAAAGCCATGACATATAACCTCATAGAGGAATAGTTAGAGCTCTTTTGGCTCGACTTTTAGCCCTTTTGATAGGGAGGCTATCTACATGTGTCCCAAATTGATGTCCGTTTTTTGGTGCACCGGAAAATGATCCAGGACGGGAAGAGAAAGTATTTTTTCTCCAGCGGGCTTTCTCTTGTAAAGCCAAGCCCCAAGACAAGGTACAAAGAGAACTTGGCTCCACATATCGAGCAATCGGAACAAACCCCGCATTATCGAACACCAAATAATCAAGACACTGCTACATATATATGATACATGTTCAACAATGAGGGGCCTAAATTATAGTTCTTTGTCTTAAAACTAGACAAGCTCTTAATAAGAACAATCCAAAATGTCAGCATGTTTCAAAGGGTGGAACCAACAAGCCATTCAGAGAGCTAGTTCTTTAGTTTATCATATTACTTACATAAGCTAGAGACAAACAAAACGATGAACAAACTCAGACAATCAAATGAAGCAAAATTCAGTCATTCAAAAGTAGATATGATAGCAAATGAGAGGTTTACCTCAAGCATACGCCATGGAGAACCCTTCCACGGATCGTGCTCAGGAATAGATACTGAGATTATAGTCCCTTGATGCCATTGAGTTCTCAAAGTATCCTCCGTTTCGGTGGGCAATTTCACTCTTATTCCAGGATACCACTGATATTTCATCGAATTGTTGATTATCTCAACTGGGACAACAAATTGGGACAAACCAGTTCTGGGATAGAAAACCACCTCGAATGGCTTGAATTGCGCAGCCAATTCGGCGGCGGTGGCAACCACCTCGGGTGGCACCCTCCCAATAGTGCGGCGGGAGAAATTTCTTGGATCTCCATCTCCAGAAGGATTTTCCTCCACTCTGCTGCATTCACCGCCTGTAAAAGGCCTATTGGATCTGGCGCGACGAATGCCTACGAACATTTCCCCTCTCGAATTCTTCGCGAAAACGACGGAATCGCCCGCAATTAGTTTCTTATGATTAACGAACTTACTCCATCCAGTAGTAAGCAAATGGCGCCTCGGCGTCCCGCGGTAAATGTGACGGAATTTCCAAACGACTCCATGAACGTCAGTGATCGACAGAGTCTGCACCGGCGGATCAGCCTGAAAATTCAACGGGGGAAAAATAGAGACAGCACAGTATCGCGGCACAGAAAATCCTCCGCCATTATTAGCATCAGAAGAGGTAAGAACCTTGGCAAACTTCGAAATTACATTAACTTCAGAACAACCTAATCGAGAAACCACTTCAGACCGCGCCTCACCAGGCCGAATGGGATGAAGATTTATCTTAATGAGTACCTCATCAGTAAGAGCGTCGGCATCTAAACCAACACCAGCAACGAGACATTTAGAAACCGGATTAGAGAGAACAGCCGGCGAAAGTTTTGGAGCATAAGTGGCTTGCTCAACATGTCCTTGAACGAAATAGTATACCTCAGAACCGACAGTGTGCAAATGGGCTAAATCGCCGGCAAAAGCACGCCAAAGTTTGGGGTCCATCCTGCCGGAATCGAACCGCCGGCGATCGAACAGCAGAAGGAAGAATAGAAAATTGTCGTCTTAGGGCAACAAGAAGATGGAAGAAAGAAGAAACACTGCAAGAAATTACGAGAAAGTGAGTGAAATTAAATGTTAGGGTTTGTTGGGTGTTCTTATAGAGGATTTTGGGGGAGGTGGGAGAGATTTGCGAAGAACTGTGACTGTCTCCATTTTCTCTCTCTAAAGAATCACAGACATTTTGAAGAGAGAGAGAGCGAAAATGGCGTATTCAGTCGGAGAAACAGGAATCGGCTACGAGGGAAGAACAGACTTACGTAACAGAATGACTCCAAAATGGTGCTCGATTTACGGTTTTACCCTCGACAGTAACTGAATATCTGATTTTGTTAATTTCTGATTTTATTTCTTTTTTTTAAATCATTTAAATTACCAATTTCATGTTTTAATTTATTCGAAAATTATAAATTTTAATCTTTTATTTTCTTTTTAGTTAAAGAACTAAAGCAGACAATATTTGTGTCCGTGGTTTTTCAGGTTAAATTTAGAATTTATATTTAATAAACAAATTTATTTTTAATTTTTTTTGAAACCCTTAGAAATAAATTTAAGAATTTAGAAATATATTAAGATAAAATTTATGGTTTTTAAACTTTGAATTTAGATTCTCCCGAGAACAAATATTGATTTAGAATAAAAACTTTTATTTCTATTTTTAGAACCGAAATATCTCGTGAAGATTTATTTTTAATTAGTTATTTGAAAAATGTTACGATAAAAAAATCTATTCACTTTGGTTGTGTGTGTGTTTTTTTTTTTTTTTTTTTTTTTTTTTTTTTTTTTTTTTTTTTTTTTTTTTTTTTTTTTTTTTTTTTTTTTTTTTTTTTTTTTTTTTTTTTTTTTTT